ACTATAATTATTAAGAATATGTATTTAAACATTTAAATTCAATATTATGTATATAATTCAATAATTTAGTCAACAAATATTACATTAAAATTAGATTAAGAGTATCTCCGTATCAACTATTTTTATATTAAAATATTATAATTCAATACCTAATAAAAGTCAATATTGTATGCCAAAATTTTTAAATATTTAAGACATAAGTCTTGATTTGAATCATTTTGGACCTTTGTTTTTGGATTTTTTTCGGTTCTTTTCCATTTTAATTTCTGCTGATCTTCCTTTCCAGCCTCAATGTATGCCACTTTTAATTTAGCTAGCCCGATCTCCCTTTGTTGACCTTCAACGTTATGATCGAAAACACAATATATTAAAGATTAAACCCGTGACAGCGCAAGATAATGTATTCAATTACGAAAAGACTATATTATGTTACGTATATTTAAAGATTTGTGTTTAATGTATTTTTGGCGATATATTGTTTCGCCTATACGTCCGTTTGCCAATATAACCGTTACCCTGCATATCCATTCATTCGCCGAGATGTCTTTTGCTGAAATTACTTCAGACGAGATGCCCTAGAATCGATGATATATTGTGATTAAAGTAATTTATTTTACTAGTAAATAGTAATCATTAGTACAACGCGCAGTACATAATATTGTTTGCCAAAAAATACAATGTATGTATACAATATAGTAATATAATTTAAAATTGACAATCACCCACGAATATTATTTTTGATTTTCAACACGATGAACATAAATCATTATTCTTGACCTCGACAAATTTTACGAATTGAGTAATTCTTTTGAAAATTCATTTCGATAAAAAATGTTTCCACTTAGTTAAAAAACTTGAAAATTTAATACAGGGTTTCTCACAAGTTAATATAACGGAAGTGTAGGGAAGTGTAGCGGGATGTCCCGAACGGCCATTAAGATTATGATTATCCATATTATTATTATTATTATTATTATTATTATTATTATTATTATTACTTTTATTGTTGGATACCGAATCGCCTCTTTTAAATTTTCGCTCGACGTGACTGTCGTGATTCGCGATGCAGAAGTTGCCGTCCTGGTGAATCGCTGCCGACACCACGGAGGGCAACGATACTGTCGCGCCTAGCTACCCGTCGCCGTCACGTCGCCGCATATGTTGTTCGTTTCCAGCCGTCTTGGCATTTTACACATGTCGCGAACCGGTGCGCCGTCGCCGTCAACACCATCTTGGTTTTCCGTGCGTCCGAATCATTTTTTGGTGATCGATTCTCGTGTTGTGTCGTCAGCACATTCACGAATCGCGTTTGTTGCCGTCTGCGCTAAAACCGCGAACTAATTTTTTTTTGACACCCGTCCGTTATTATGCAGTGCGTTCCGCCGCGATATCCACGTGCCTCACGTTATTTGGCATTTACCGTTCGTACGCGACAGCTCGCAATATTTCGCGTCCGGAGTTCGCGTTCTGACCACTGATCCCGCGATTCATCAATCCTGAAACCCACGATCACTTCAAGTCAGCCGATTTGCCCGATTTCATGTTGATGGATTTTCGGAGTATTGTTGCATCAGGACTACCTCCATTTGTTGTTTGTCGTCTCGGGGCAACCACACCATCATCGTGTTATCACTGCTAATCAACGCTGATATCAGGTCGTACACACGCTTTATTTATTGTCTATATATTTTATTACATGATAGAAATAACTAGGTATGACAGCAACTAACCGATTATGGCAGTGAACAGCGCAGTCATGGAACTTATAACAAAATATTGTTTTTTCCATTGAAATATGACGTCAGCTGCCAGTTAAGATGTTTCAACACTTTGCGCGGCATTATTCAAATTTAACACATCCTTTACACCTATTCAATACCTACTATTATAGTCTATACAGCATTTTTATTTTTGTTTAATTAATATTTGGAAATAAAACTATTACAAATTAATATTTATATCATTATATAACATGTCGCTAATTGTATAATATTTAAGTATGAATATACTATAGGTATGCCTGAAAGATAAAAGTTATTTGCTTATTTGTTTTATATAATAGTTATTGTATTCTGTAATTGTCAAAACATTAGTAAGTAATTTAATGTATTAATTTTTGTATTAAGATAATAACTAATATACACATTATTATTGTTTTGTAATATATAAATTACTATTTGCCTAAAATGTGTCTATTTATTTCATTGACTAAGTATTTTACTTAAATATTATAATATAATTTCCTTAATAAATTTCAATATACATATTACTCAAAATGAAGAACTCTATATACCTTACATATTGTGTAGCTTAACAATCTTAAATTATTTTAGATTTTGTATTTTGGTAAACATGATTATGTTAATATTACCTATACTGAAATTAAAATATCTAAAAATAAATAGGCTTAAGAAATATTATTAATATTAATAGTGGTAGTATACTGTGTAATACTTTTATGGAATAAAAGTTATATTTCATAATACATGTTACAACTATATTATAAAAGTATACGTCTTATACTGCGTACCAACGCATATTATGTCTTGGTGTTCAGTGAAAGGGTGTTCTAGTGGAAGTAAGCGTAAGGAATTAAGAAATGTTGACCGTAGCCATATTCGTTTTCATCGCTTCCCACAAGATACACAATATCAAAAAAAATGGCTTGATGCAACTGGTAATCCTAATTTAAAAGTAAAAAATGGTATGTTTTAAAGCAAACTTTTGATATATACTTAAATAAATACTCGAGCATTTGTATTTTCTTTAATAATTTATATGGTTTCTTTAAAGTTAGTTTTTCTTTCAGCTTATATATGTTCTTTACATTTTGATGATGATGCATATTGTAAACCATTGATTGAAACGTTACTGAACTATTCCCCAAGACATAAGAGAAAATTGAAACTAGATGCTATTCCAACACTTAATTGTCACCATTCTAATTTGAATCTAGAGGATAATTCTGATAATATTTTTAATCAATCTATTAGGTCCGTTTAAAGTAGTTTAATTGTATAAATATATACATTATTTCAAAAAATGATTAGATTTTACATATTATAATCTGTTATTAAAGCAGTTATGTTACTGACATGGAAACTGGAAAAATTGTTGTATCTCGGGAAGAATGTACAACAGAAAAACATGTTACAGCACATAATTTGTCCAGTGGTATAGAAACAAATGATCAATATCAAAATGAGATTGACAGGTATTTAACTAATGACATTATTAATAAAACATATATAATATAAACATAAAATTATAACCGAACTGCAAATTTACAAAACGTATATTAATTACTTCAAAAAACAATATATTTTATAAAATATAATTTGTTATTAAAGCAGTTACGTTACTGACATGGAAACTGAAGAAATAATTGTATCTCTAGATGAATGTGTAACAGTACATAATTCATCTTGTAGTGCACAAACGTCACAAACAGATGATTATTATCAAAATGAGATTGACAGGTATTTAATTAATAACATTAATTATAAAACATATTATATTAAAAACAAATTGTAACTGAATTGCATAGATTACAAAAGTTATTGAAAGAAGCACAGAGTAAAATTAAGGAATTAGAGGATAAATGTAATACATTTAAAAATATTAACAGTTACCAACAACAGCAAATAATTAACTTTAAAAAAAATAAAAATATGGAAGAACAGCTTTTTAACATAAAATTTCAACAAAAACTTTCCGGGATCTTTACAGCAACTCAAATTAAGTTGATTTTAAATAAAAAAAAAGCATATAAATGGTCTGATGAAGATATATCATCGGCAATTAGCTTAAGAAGCATATCCCCTAAAGGGTATAGATATTTAAGGGAAAAAAAGAAATATCCTTTACCAGGTATCTATGTTTAAATTAACTTAAATAAATATACAAACATACTTTACAATTTCAATTATTATTTAATAATTTTCTCAGCTTTATCGACATTGAGATCATGGGCTTGTAAATTTTCAGTAGACCAAGGTATATTGCACCAAGTTTTGTCACTGTTAAAAGCTAAAGGTTAGTAATATAGTATACAAGTATACAATTAAAATTAATAACTTAAAAACATATTTTATAATGTGTTATAGGAGAGTCTATGTCACGTAATGACAAAATAAATATAATCTCTTTTGATGAGACGTATATATCACGCAAGATATGTTATGATAAAGGCAAAGATCAGATTATTGGACCGCATAAATGTGTACAAGTAGTGATGGCAAGAGGTTAGTCAGCAGTTTAGCAAAAATGTTAATATGGTATGTGATACATATTTCTTTCATGTTTTATAGGACTTTTAAGTAACTGGAAGCAACCATTGTTTTATGACTTTGACACACCTATGACTACTGAGATACTCTTTAAAATTATTGCTTGTATTCATGAAGTGGGATTTGAAGTAGTTGCTCTTGTCAGCGACATGGGTCCAACTAATATTGGCTTATGGAAGTCATTAAACATAACACCATCATCACCTTCATTCATAAATCCAGTTACACTTAAAAACATACATGTCTTTGCTGATGTCCCTCACCTATTAAAATTGATTAGAAATCATTTTATTGATAGAGGATTTATATTTTCAAATAATACATATATTGGAAGACAAATTATTGAAGAATATTTAAGTACAACAAAAAACTCAGATTTTAAATTGGCATATAAAATTACAGAGAAACATCTAAATGTAAGGGCACACAGAGACAAAACGTGAAATTGGCTGCCCAATTATTTTCCAATACAATGAGTACAGCTATTAAATACTGTGGAGAAAAGAGCATTATCAAAAATAATCATTGGGAACAGGTAATAAAATATTTTTGTGAAAAATTTGTATGGAATCATAAACACACATAATAAATTATTTTAGGCAGTGGATCTTTTTAAAACGATTAATGATTGGTTCGATTTATTAAACACCCAGTTACCAATTGATGGATTTACTAAAAGTTATGGTCTTGATTTGGATGTTCAAAACCAAATTCTTAATAAAATGGATACAGTGATGAAAGACTTAAAAGTACATGGCTCTAATCGTAGACTTCCATTTCAAACAGGTATAACAAAAAAAAAAAAAAAAAACGATAATATAAAACCTGGGAAGTCTCTTTTCTGTATAATGGTTGCGGTCAAGTGTCACCCCTCAGCTTAGAATCTAAAAATAATAAGAAAATAATTATGTCTAATAATACATTTTAATCATATGTACATATTTAATAATATATTATCTAGGTGTTTTAGTGACAAATGAATCACTAAGAAATCTTTTAAAGGATCTTAAAATAGAGTACAAAGATTTAAAATATATAATGACACGGAAAGTAAATTCTGATGTATTGGAAAACTTTTTTAGTTATATTAAAGGAATGATTGGGGCAAATAATCATATGTCTCCAATGGAATTTAAATATAGGTAGGCTTTTGTAATATAAATATTTATTTCTATGTAAATTATCATACAGAATATAACTGAACATTGTGAAATATTTAAAAAGAAACTTACGATTTGTGTTTAGTTTACGCTGGTATTTGTTAGGCAAACACTCCAGTGCTGTGTTTACAGAACATCGCAATACACAAGATACAGATGAAGAATGTTTAGTAAATTGCCTAATAGCTTCAACTATACAGCAAGCCAACATTTTAAACAATGATCATTTAAGTATGAATGAAGATATAACAGATTCAACTCTGGCAGTCATAGAAAATGATTATGGCAGTATGTCTAAAATTGAAGTACCCAAACACAATATGATGTTATTAAAAGATTTTGAAAATGAGGTTATAATCTTTGTTTGACAACAACTAACTAATGTTGAGTTTGAATAAACATCAATAATATATTATCTTCTTACTTTTTAGTTACATGCCAAAGATAATCCACAGATTGATGACTGTCTAGAGTATGTAACGGGATCTGTAGCTCGAAAATTCATCCACAAATACCATGATCTTGGGGAAAAATTAGGCGATCCTGATATAAACCTAAATTCAACATGGACAGAATATATTAATAAAGGATATTTAATAAAACCTTCAGAAAAATTAATTCAAGCGGCAATAGTCTTAGAGACCATATTTAAAGATTTTCATACTTGTAATAGTTTAAATAAATCACCAGGTATTATTTGAATTGTTATTATTGTAAAAAAATAACTAATGCACTTCACAAAAATCTTTTCTGTAGGTGTAATGAAAACTGTTGCTGATGAACTTGAAAAAAGAATAAAAAACAAAATAAATATTCCATATGAAGTGTTACACTGCTTGGTGAGGACAAGGACGTTTATCAGATTGAATAATCTAAATAACGAATTGTCTAACAAAGTTATTACAACAAAACGAAGCAAAATAAAGAAATTTACCACGTGACTTTTTTTGTTATTGATTATTGCTAATTATCAATAATAGTAAATAATAAATAGTTAAAACACAAAAAAAAATGTAATCTTAAAGCTTCTTATTGACTTCAGCACAGTTTAGAATGTTTAGATCTTACCATACACTACAATCTGAATAATTAATTAATTAAATAATTATAATATATAGGTACTCAATTATACTCCATGGGTATTATGAATTATTATTGTTAAACATGAATTACATAATAATGCTAAATTTTAATATAACTTAAAAGTTAATAATTTACAACTTTGAACTTAAACATGATAGAATTTAATTTAGAAATTAAAAATTTTCAACAGTTGATTTAAATTTTAAACCACGGTTATCTAGGTGTAGATTATCCGTGTAGATAACCGTGATTTAAACATAGAATTTAAATGTCAACAAAAATGAGTGATAACAATCCTTGGCGGATGACGTAAGCAACATGCGCGCGGCGAAGTTGCTGTCATACCTAGTTATTTCTATCATGTTTTATTATTCGGGTCACGCGAAACGTATATTTTTTTTATTATTTAAATTGATTTATTGATATTCTGCCGACCGGACTGTGGTTGCGCATTATTATTTACTCACTAACCTTAGTTGATAAGTCATTTCCATTGCAGAACATAAAAATAAAGTTGTTCTGTACATTGTCATATATTGTAAAACATTGTTGTTGATAATTATCTTATTATTCTACCAAAATTTAAATACTTAACCCTATTGTATACAGTCCACTCTCATTCTCCTCTATTCCCTCAAAGTTACGAAGAAGGCAGTTTTTCGACGAAGACAACAAGCGCGTCGGGTTTGCGTGTAGTTGCCGCTGGCGCGCACACACACACGTATTTATTCTTGTCGCCCGGCTTCATTATGCAGCCGCCTCTCGCACAATTATTATTTATTTATCGGACGCCTAGCCGTTGTCCGTCAGTTGTTAATTGTTATAAGTTATAACTTATAAGTATTTAGTAGTAGTGTGTGCTCCGGCGATATAATAGGCAATCCGCGGCGGCTCGTCAGCGATTTATTATTTACTATAGTCGGGTGAATGAAAAGTGGCCGCTGGCAATATGATAGGAACGTTTTTTTTCGACAAGCCGCGGGTTCTCAAAGTGAATCACGTAAAGCGCGTAATTGCATTATGATTAATAATTAAAATGCGCGCGTTTTTTTCCATAATTTTGCGGTACAATGATAAAAATTCACACGTAAGCATCAGAGGCCACTTTTCATTCACCCGACTATAGCTGTCCCAACACTGCGTCACTCGCGTATTAGTTTGTTTTTTGGCATTTTTGTAGGCCGTCTATTAATGCTATTTTGTAGGAGAAAATATATATTTTTTTTTTGTAGTTTATTAGTGGTTTCGGAGATCATAGCGAACAGTAAACTATTGAGTACAAACTAAATGTATTATTGTTCGTGTATTTTAAAAACGTACCTAATTAAATTACAAGATATGTAAATTAAGCGATCTGTTTAAAATGTATTGTAATTTAGGAATCTAACCTAACCTAACCTAACCTAACCTAGTACAGTTCTATCCGTCGTACAGGTAAGACGTTCGGTCTTTTCCCGTTGTGATTACGTCCGTTATCGATACGTCGTTATCTAGTTCGTTATAGTTCGGTTTTTCTAAATGCCTCTCACTTGCATTATTTGCTCATCAGCTATTAATCGTGTTACTACCTATTTAACTTGTTGTGGTTGCAAGAAAAATACAGCTCATAGTAATTGCATTACTACTGTTGGTTCCTCTCCTAAAAACAGTTCTACTTGGAAATGCAGTATTTGCTCTCCTTCTAATTTTGATTTACTCTCTAAAATTGAAAAACTATTTGACCTATTAAATTCTACCAATGATAAATTAGATCGGGTTGTAGCTGAAAATACACGCTTTCAAGAAAAATTATGTTTACTTGAATCAAGAATCGCCAAATTAGAATCTAATCCAACCTCTAATGCCACGTTTCTTATTCTGATATGTTTAACGAACTGCATGATCGCCAATCACGTGAAAAAAAATATAATTTTATTTAACGTACCTGAGTCGAATAATGATGCCGATGACACCTCATTAGTTAATGACATTCTTACTAAAATTGATGCCCCTGTCGCTACTTCACATATAGTCCGTCTGGGTAAACTTGGACCAAAACCTCGACCGATAAAGATCACTTGTGAAAAAAAATCTGATGTTGGGTTAATACTTAAGTCAAAAAATCGTCTCCGGAATCTACCTGACAAAAAATTTATCCATGTAACGGTTGATTGGACCCCTTCACAACGAAGTTTCTACATTAAAGTACGTGAACAACTTTCAACACGCAAAAATAATGGTGAGAACAACATTTACATCGGCTATATCAAAGGAGTTCCAACTATTCTACAAAAAAACTAAATTCTGCCTCAGGTTTTACGCATACAGATAATACTTTTATAAATAATAATCATAAGTCATCAAATTTTAAATGTAAGCATATTGAAGGCTTATTTCAAAATGTTAGGGGGATGCGTACAAAGTTAGATCTATTACGTATCAATGAACCGTTATTTAATTTGGATTTTTATGTAATTGTTGAGACTGGCTTAAATAGTAACTTCTTATCGTCTGAACTTGGTTTTTCTTCGTATGAGATCTATAGATGTGATCGTGACTATACAAATTCTGGCGTTAACCTTGGAGGCGGAGTTTTAATTTGTGTAAAAAAAAAATTTTTTTCTAAACGTTTAAATCCACTTTCTACTCCAAATTTTGAACACTTATTTATTCACGTCCGGGTTAATAATAAAGACTTAATTATCGCTGGTGTTTATTTTCCACCTAAAAGTAATAATGATAGTTACGTTACCTTTTTTAACGCTTTAAATTTAATTGTTTCTTCACACCCAGATTTTGAAATTATTATTTGCGGAGATTTTAACCTTCCTAAGTTAAACTGGGTTGTTCATAATGATTATGTTAAGTGCTACGGTAATATTTACAATCAGGCAGCAACCGTTATCGATGAATTCGCTTATCTCAACTGTCGACAATTTAATAGATGGTATAATTTATCGGGCTCATTACTTGATTTAATATTTTCCAACATTCCAAAGGTTTGTGTTCTTAATGACGCTGATAAAGCTATTTTACCTTTAGACACATTATATCACCCTGCTCTGTACATTAGCTTTAATATTTCTACGTGTTGTAGTAAATCGAATTCAACTCCAAGTTATTTCGATTTTAACCGAACTGACTTTTGTGGATTATCTTACGCTCTTAATTCTTGTAATTGGAACGAAATTTTAAGCAGTACGGACATTAATATAGCCACTTCAAATTTTTACTCAACACTAAACACTCTCATTGAATTATTCGTTCCTAAAATTACTCCAAAAAAAACTAATTTCCCCTCCTGGTATAGCAAGTACTTAATATGTTTGATTATCAAAAAAAAAATTGCACATACAACTTTCAAACGATATAATAATCCTAATGATTACAATACTTTTAAACTATTACGGCAGCAAGTCAAAATTGAATCTTATAATGCATATAATAATTATCTTAATCGTATACAATCGGATTTATTATTAAACCCAAAGCGTTTTTGGAATTTTGTCCGCTCTAAAAAACAAGATAACTCTATCCCTCAATCCATGTCTCTCAACGAAGTATCTGCAAATTCAAGCCAAGATATTGCTAATCTTTTTGGAAACTATTTTAGCTCTGTTTTTAGCCCTAATAATAACCCACTTACACCAATAACTTATAGTCTTCCTAATTTTAATACTGTTAATATTAATAATATTGAATTTACGTTAGGTGATATATTTGAAGGTTTAAGTCTTCTTAAATCTAAGTGTTCTTACGGTCCTGACGGGATACCTCCTATAATATTACGTAATTGCCGTTACTCATTAGCAATACCCATTTATACATTATTTAAATTATCTTTATCTTCTAGCTCTTTTCCCACATTATGGAAATCTAGCTACATTCAACCTATTTTTAAATCGGGTGACAGATCTAATGTCGAAAACTATAGACCTATTTCTATTTTATCTGCAATCCCTAAGTTTTTTGATAAAATTCTTGCTACAAAAATTAACTACTATTTCAAAAATATTTTTATTAATGAACAACATGGGTTTAGACCTGGTCGATCTACTGTAACACACCTTCTCTCCTTTCATTCTTTTCTGTTAGAGGCAATTGAATCAGGTTTACAGGTTGATGTTATATACACTGACCTCAAAAAAGCATTCGATAGCGTTAATCATACTTCCCTAGTAAATAAGTTAAAACTGTATGGTGTATCGGATCCATTATTAACATGGTTCAAATCATACCTCTCCTCCCGCACCCAAATTGTTAAAATTCATAATTATTCTTCTTTTCCCATTTCCGTTACCTCTGGTGTCCCACAAGGTGCCCACCTTTCTCCGTGGTTATTTAACATTTTTATTAATGATGTGTCCCAATGCTTTTCTAACTGTAAATTTTTGCTCTTTGCTGATGACTTGAAAATTTTTAATGTTATTAACAACACATCTAGTTGCTTAGATTTACAAAGTTGCTTAGTTAAATTTTATAAATGGTGCACTGATAATGGTTTATCAATAAACATTAACAAATGTAATTATATATCATTTTTTCGTACTCGCTCGTATATCAACTTCCAATATTCTATTAATTCGAATCACCTTGTCCCAGTATCCACTATAAAAGATCTAGGTGTTATTTTCTCTTCCGACCTTTCGTTTAATGACCACATTAATTACATTTGTAATAAGTCCAATAAAATACTTGGGTTTTTAAATCGTAACACCATCGGTTTCTCTAATATTAACGCATTGAATACTCTATATATGTCACTAGTCCGTTCAATTCTTGAAT